TATTTTTCAACCTACATAGGCTAAGTTGTAGTAATCGTTCAAAAATCGAAATTGAAATGTATTACGTTTTTCACGTTTTGAAGGTTTCTGAACTTTGGCATATCTCGGAAAAATTGATGTGTGTGTGTGATTTGTGTGTGTGTTTTGTGTATCCGCAATTTTTGTGCACATTTTCGGGCGCACGGATTAAACCGATTTGAATCATTTGAAAACATTCAATTCCTATTGATAGGAAGATGTGCTGATTAGTTTTTGGCAAAGGGAGGCCCAACCGTTACGAAGATACGGAGCAAAGAGTGCAAAAAATAGAAATCAAGTTTTAGAGAGAGAACGGACCCCAGTAGAAATGAATCGTGGCTAGAGGGGTAAAAAATTGTGGCGCAATATTCAAAACTTGTTTTTAGATGGACCGGACAATATTGTTTTCAAAATTATAGAAAATTTGGAAAATTTATGGGAGAACTGTTTTATATGGTTTTTTACAAATAAAAACATGTTTTCCATCTGATTTACACGTCTAATTTTATATTTACACAAATTATACATAATTTTTAAATGAGGGCGTAATAGAAGCATTTTGTGGGCAACCAAGATTCGTTTCTTTAGTATTATCAAACTTGGGAAATACATGGTATTTATCACAAAAAAATCAACTTTAAATAAATAATTAATTATCATCCGATTGGAATGATCCAAAAAGCACTCAATTCGTAATAAAGGGTAAAAGTGGTAATTGAATTTTGGCAAAGGCAAGTCTAGCCGTTTCGGCGATACGGAGCTAAATATGCAAAAAATGACAGTTTTTGAGAGAGCTAGGCATCCTATTTGAATGATTCTTTCTGCTTGTGTTAACGGAAAGATTGCTTTAGTGGATTTTTTTTTATTTCGATTTTATTTTAATTTTCAAAAAAAAATAACTAAATTTTATTCTTTGAATATTTTTTTAAGGTACGGAAAATTTGAGCATTTTGCCTTAAGGCACGAAGCTGTATATCAGTAGTTTAAAAAATACAAATCTTGATATTTTAAGGTAACTTTCAGACACAATATTGTAAATAATTGACGTCTAGAAAAAAAATTTCTAATGAAAGTTCTTGAACACCATGTAAATTATGAGCCAAAACCTAATTATTTATCGTAATGCTTTTTAATAATATCTTAGTTTTTCAAGATTCTCATATATAAATTCAAATTATCTCACCTGAATATAAATTTTGGTTCTATTTTTGGTAAACGATCCGACATTTTGAATTAGTCTGCTATTTCTATAATCTTTATATTTTATATTACACATCTATATTATACATGAATATAATAAAAGTAAAAAAACATATGATAATTGATATTTTAATTTGATTACTAATGAAGTTTGTGACTTTTGTTTTAAATATATTAAATAAATAATTTTACGAATATAAATATATAATAAATATTGGTAGCAGTCTTTCTAATGATATTGGGACAAAAATTATTACAATTGAACTTCCAAGTTAAAAACTTGGTTCAAAATTTTTCTTTCATAACTATTGCCAACTCCATAACAATTGTCAGCATTTTGCTTCATTCCACTGATTGTGTAATAAAAGAAATATTTAAATAAATTGTTTATCAAAATTTAAACAAATAAGTTTGTCTAAATAGTCCTCTGTTATTTATTTAAATACCATCTATTTCATTTAATAATTTCTTGCAACTAATATTACTCAATACTAAATCAATTAGTAATTGCAAAACTTGAAACAAATTAAAATTATAAGAAAATTAATTATTATTTATTGTTGTTCTAAGAATACTTTAAATCTGGTTAACGTAATTGATATTTTTACAAAAATATTATCAGTCTTTATTAATTAGATAATAATCCTAAATCGATCTAATTAAGATAATCTAAATAAAATGCTAAGATAATGTTTTCATATTGGCCACGTGAAAGGAAATTGGTTTTTTAAGTGGAACGATTTTGTAATTTGATTAAGAAATTGATTAGGAATTTGAGATTTATTAGTACATACAGGAACGTATTTAGATAATCATAAATCTTTATTGAATAATTTTATTTTGGGTTATACATCTTATGTCAAGGTTACACTTATTAACTTCTCAAAGGAGAAGTTTATGTTTTCATAAAAAAATCTGATTCTCGACGTTTCAAGCCATTCTGAATCGATTGAGACCAAATTTGGAAAAAGTATGTATGTGTATGTGTATGTGAACAGATTTTTTGTCGTAAATCGACGTTTTCTCAAAAAACAGCTGAGCCGATTTCAAAAATTTAAATGCCATTCGATATATCTCGATGAGGACTAGCGTTTATAAATTTTCCTCAAAGCAAAATACCAATACCAACTAGTTTCGTTCAAAATATTACGATAAGTGTAGTAGCAATTCTCGGTGACTTGTTATAAGGTACCATGGAGAAAATATTAAGTACTTCAATATAATTTCAAAAGTTTCAAAAATTTAAATGGAAGCTCGTATATAAAGACCATATGTAAAGTTTTTTAAAAACAAAAATTATCAAATAAAATAGGTTCACCAAAAATAGCTATGTTACCCAAGAATTGGCCTATAAATTTGGTGATAGAATTGACCTTCCAGATTGTGCGTTTTCGATAT